TCCAAAGAGAGAGACCCAGCACGCGCACCCCACCCCCCGCGCCCACTGGGCTTTGTGCTGCCCCCGGGACGAGCCCGGCTGCCTCCTTTAAAAACAAAACAAAAAGCTTAAAAGTGGCTGAGGGCTCTTGGTGGCCTTTGCTTTGCTTTGCTTTGCTTTGCTTATTTATTTGCTTGCTGGCTGCCCTAGAGTGACAGGGCTACTACCCCTCTGACAAACCGGGGCTGGAAATATGGGGAGTTGGAGGGGTGGTGGTTTCATGAGATTGCAGCCATATTCGGGGTGGGGGGTCCCTACAAGATCCCCTGAACTCCCCTTGTGAAAGGGGATAGATAGCAGCTGGGATTCTTGAGAGGCTCTTGGGTGGAAGAGCTCTCTCTCTCTCTCCCTAGGTTGGGGATCGAGGGACAGACTGAGGAGACCCGGGTTCAAACCCCCAGCCATGGAAACACCGCGAGGGGTGGCGTTGGGGAACCCCCTCCTTGAACATCTCATACACCTCAAAAACGATGAGGGTTGTCCAAAGTCCAAAGCATCTGGATCACACATGTCTGCGAAGGAGCCACACATTTTTCTAGAGAGCACGGACACAATTTGCCATCTCTTTGCCATATCTTCCCAGTCCTATGACCTGACTCTGATTTTAATTTGGAAGACGGAATCCACAGCCGCTGCAGGATGTGGCACACAACTATGCTCTGCTGACCGGTCGCTTCTGACTTGACGGTGACGCTAGGAATGAGTGACCTATAAAAGATCCTGGCATTAACCACCACCTTCAGGTCATGGAGACTCAAAGCTGCGGCTTCCTTCATAGAATCCATCTATTTCATGTTTGGTCTTCCTTGTTTTGACCGCCATCAACTTTTTCCAGCCTTTTCTGGTGGATCTTGTTTTCCGATGATGTGTCCCAGACATGATGGTTCTCTGTGGAATCATTTTTGCTTCTAGAAAGTTCAGCTTTGATCTGGCACCCACTTATTTGTCCTTCTGGTGATCTGATCAATCTGTAAAGCCCTCCTCCAACACCACATTTCAAGTGAATAAATGTTTTCCCATCCACTTTTTTCACTGTCCAGCTTTTTCATCTTCACGGTTAGCAATCAGTAATACCAGAGTGAATAAATGCTTTCCCATCAGCTTTTTTCACGGTCCAGCTTTTTCATCTTCACGGTTAGCAATCAGTAATACCATACTATGGGCACTCTTGACTTTGGTTTGCAATGGTGTGTCCTTTTGAATCTTTTCCATTTCCTTCATTGCCATCTTTCTAAGTCTCACTCTTCTGATTTCTTGATTGCAGTCATTATTTGGATTAATGATTGAGCCAAGTTATGAAAAAACTAACAATTTCATTTTTTTTCATGATCAATATTAAAGTTGTCTTCTGATTTCTTGACTGCAGTCTTTATTTGGATTGATGATTGAGCCAAGTTATGAAAAAACTGTAACAATTTCATTTTTTTTCATGATCAATATTAAAGTTGGATAGAATCATAGAAAAGTGAAGTTGGAAGGGGCCTACAAAGGCAGAAATAAAAATCAAAGCATATCTGCCAGGTGATTATCCAAGTTTATCTTGAATGCCTCCAGTGTTGGAACACTCACCAACTCCCGAGGTAACTGGTTCCACTGTCGTACTGCTCTAACAGTTAGGAAGTTTTTCCTGATATTCAACCGAAATCTGACTTCCTGTAATTTCAGCCCATTGTTGCATGTCCTGTCATATGAGATGATGGATAACAGATCCTGCCCCTCCTTGCTTTCAGCCCACTGCTCCATCCTATCAAGGTCATTTTGAATTTTGTTTCTGTCTTCTAGGATATTAACTATTCCACCCAATTTTCTATCATCTGCAGATTTGACAAGCATTCCCTGTACTGTCTCATCTAAGTCATTAATTAAAAAAAATGAAGAGCACCGGGCCCAGGACTGAGCCTTGGGGTACTCCACTAGTGACCTCCTCCCAGTTAGCGAAGGACCCATTAATCATCAT